AAAAAAAAAAAAAATGGAAGTCATGTTTTTGCTTCTTCACTGACGGCAAGCAACACAAAGTGCGCGAATTTGACATGATCACCCTTAGAAATCATACACCGCGGTCATACATGACATGATTACCCGTAACCTTGAGTGTTCTTGACATGATTATTGTATAATCTGCAACCAGATGACGTCACAGGCGCTGAATTCGAAAAATTACTGTACGCTTTCGGCCAATCAGAAAAGAGATAGTGAGTTCAATGTATAATAATAAGTGTTCTTGTGCTTTCTGTGTAGATTGGCAGTACAGGCCAACTGCTCGGTTTCGATTTATCAAAACAAGATACTATGCTTACATTGGACATTCACTGTAGCAGCATTGGATGTAACATTTCCAAGGCTGTTATTCGCCACACAACGGTAGGTTCCGTTGTCTGTTCTTTTCACATTCGTTATTGTCAACTGTTTTTTGTCATCTGAAATACTGATCCTTCCGCTTGTATTTACAGGAGATCCATCTCTAGTCCATGATATTATTGGTACTGGATTTCCATCAACGTTACAAGATAGAGTTACGTTAGCTCCTTCTGTTCTGGTTTTATTTTGAGGATGAGTAGCGATCTCTGGTTGATCCGTAACAAACAAGACAATCACTCATGAATGGGGAAATTTTGAAAGTACGAACTGAAATCATTTCAAGACTATACGAGCCTGTTTTTATGTTTTAAATGGATTTAAGTTAGCAAGTTACAGTGCGACTATCAAGGCCATCCTAGCAAATTATTTCCAAATTTACATCCACCGTTTGAGTGTTAAACGATAAACATGGCCACTAACTCATTGCCTCTGCAGTGTGCAGCTTGCTTGGATGAATGAATTGTCGGAAATGCAGTGTTAACATCCCATGTTTCCATTGGTTAAATTTGAACAGGATCTTTGATTCCTTGTTTGAAAGGGTCGCACTGTAAACTAGAAACTGCAGTAACGTCATTTTTAGGAAATTTTTCTTGTGAAATTTTCAAAACAATAATTGTCAAAAGTCGCTGATTTCTGTTTACCCGTTTCGTGCTAAACCCAATAGGGGCAATGGACCTTTCAAACATTCTGACGACAGTGTTTTGATCAATTGCTCGCATTGATATCTAGTGCAGCAGCATTGAAGATATCATTTCCAAGAATGTCGATAACAAGATACTGTACTTACATTGTACATCCAGTGTAGCAACATTGGAGGTATCATTTCCAAGTTCGTTGCTCGCCACACATCGGTATTCTCCGCTGTCTGTCCTGTTCACATGCGTTATTGCCAACTGCCTTTTGTCTTCTGAAAAACTGATCCTGGAATTAATAGTTGTATTGACAGGAGATCCATCTCTGAACCATGATATTGTTGGTACTGGATTTGCAGTAGCATTACAAGATAACGTTACGTTATCTCCTTCTGTTTTTGCAACACTTCGAGGATGAACAGTGATCTCGGGTTGATCTGTAATAATAATACAATCTGTAAAACATATCACAATAGGGCAATGTACATTGGGAGAAATGCAATGTTTATATCGTAAGTAATTTTGATTTATGGCTAATATATAGTCGCAATAGATTTGACGATTATCGATGGGCGAGTGGTCTGGGGTTTTAAATTTCCTAGTGCGCGTTGACGCCGGTGTTACATTTGTAACAATGGTTTTCTTATTGCATGACACAGATCTCGGTTTGTGGTAATCAGCAGTCTATACCTCATTCCAAAATAACCTCCACACCATCAAAGTCATCTGGTCACGTGCGCATTAATTTAATGAAATACTGTGTACCATGTAAATAAATAAATAAACCTTAAGAACGTTTTCAACCTCAAATCGCAATAAAAATACAAGAACGTTCAGCCTCAGCTCCAAAATTAGACATTGTTATATAAAAAAAGAGTGTATTATTTGACAACTTGGAGGATCAATTAGATACTGAACCATACAAAGTTTTTTCAAATCTCTTGAGGCGAAGGGTACAGCAGATCACCGACTGCACTCAGCTCTATCTTAGACTCTATGGAAGATACATCACAAACTTTTCTTTCCAGAAGTTTTAATCATTTCTTGGAATTTAACCGTGACTATGATCAGTCATGCAAATATGGCGTAAAAAAGTATTTGTTTATGTTCAAGGGAATCTGATAGTGTTTACTGTAAAACTATATTCTCAAAAATTCACAGGCCTTCGATCTATTTCCTTTGACAAATGAAGACTTTTAGTGAAGCAAATTGGAACCTTTCATCAGTTGTCCATACATTTGCCCGTGTATCCGCTCTCCTGAATTTGACACTTTTCTAACCAAACTTTACCGAAACATTGTATTTCTGGTAATATTTGTGTCTGTCATTCAAAATGGAACAAAAACAAAGAAAAAACTAAAGAAAGATCTTAATCACAACTGCATGAAAATGAATTCCAACATGCTTAACACATTACCTTGAATATCCAGTGTAGCAGCGTTGGAGGTATCATTTCCAAGTTCGTTGCTCGCCACACATCGGTATTCTCCGCTATCTGTCCTGTTTACATCCGTTATTGTCAACTGCTTGTTGTCCTCTGAAAAACTGATCCTAGAAGAATCTACAGGAGATCCATCTCTGAACCATGATATTGTTGGTACTGGATTTGCAGTAGCATTACAAGATAACGTCACGTTGTCTCCTTCTGTTTTTACAACACTTCGAGGATGAACAGTGATCTCGGGTTGATCTGTAATAATAAAACAATCCGCAAAATATATCACAACAGAACGATCTACATGGCGCGAAAAGCAATGTTTATATCATAAGTAATTATGATTTATAGCTAATATATAGTCGCAATAGATTTGACGATTATCGATGGACGACTGGTCGGAGGTTTTAAACCTCCTTGTGCACTTTGTCGCCGGTGTTAAATATGGAACAGTTGTAAAGGAGATTGCAAAACTCAGTGGCTTCTTGGTTCCCGACGGAACATATCCACGACCGTTAAATTTTCTAATGAAAAACCTTTGCTGGGTACTATTTTAAGAAAGTTGTTAAAGTTTTCGGGAAGAAAATTACTTTTAGGCTTCCCACTGTGCGATTTTGGGGAATTTTTTATAGACCATACAAAAAAAATAATAATTGATACATTAAACCACTTCACTGTTCGTTTTGGGCGGGGCAACAGTATTCGAACTGTTTGGCTGAGCTAAATTAGAATAAGATATTAAACTTACATTGGACATTCAGTGTAGCAGCATTGGAGGTATCATTTCCAGCCCTGTTTGTTGCCACACACCGGTATTCTCCGCTGTCTGTCCTGCTCACATCCATTATTGTCAACTGCGTTTTGTTGTCGGAAAAACTGATCCTTCCACTTGTATTTACAGGAGATCCATCCCTGGTCCATGACATTGTTGGTACTGGATTACCAGTAGCGTTGCAAGATAAGGTCAGGTTACCTCCTTCTGTCGTTGTCACAGCTTGTGGGTCAACAGTGATCTTTGGTTGATCTGTACGTGAATATCAATAAGCCGAGTAAGTAAGAAATTTGACATGTGGAGTTAACGCATGCAGAAAATATTTGCTTGCCTTTAACAGGGGATTTGTAACAAGCTAATGTGCTGTAGGAGACAACAACGTATAAGGGATTAACTTATAACAGCGTTTTTCAGTTTTGATCAGTTACTTACACTGAACATCCACTGTAGATGCCTTGGAAGTATCATTTCCAAGGCTGTTACTCGCCACACATCGGTATTCTCCGCTGTCTGTCCTGTTCACGTGCGTTATTGTCAACTGCTTTTTGTCTGCTGAAAAACTGATCCTTCCGCTTTGATCTACAGGAAATCCATTTCTGGTCCATGACATTGTCGGTACTGGATTTCCATCAGCTTTGCAAGATAAAGTTACGTTTTCTTCTTCTGATTTCGTTTCGGCTTCTGGATGAACAGTGATCTCAGGTGGATCTGCAACAGTAAAATAACCCGCCTAAGAAATGACAACGTAACAATGTGCACGTAACAATTTAGTGGGCTTTTTTAAACAAAAATTTGATGCAAGAAATAACCATTGATCAGATATATATAGTAAGCTTATATACCCGAGAAAAGATTTCACCGGTGATAACTGACGACTGTGTGCAGATAAATTGGTGACTGACCTTGAGTTGAAAATTCGAATATCGGGTATTGTAATTGTAATAAACTCACATGCGATAGGCACAATCCTGAGATTGGTTATCAGAGTACTAATGAAGGAAAAAATAGCTTCAATTTACGGGTTTTAGGCAATCGTTGTGAATACTACCTCGAGATTCTTTCAAACCAACACTAATAATAAACAAGTTTTCCATGAGATTTTTGTGATATCTAGAATAATCAAGGTCGAGGTAGGGGTTATTAGCCGAAGCCGAAGACTGAGGCTGATAACTTTTACCGAGACCTTGATCATTCTGGATGTCACAACAACCGAATCTAATAATTGTTCTATTATATATTGAACGAAAAAAAAAAAAAAATGGAAGTCATGTTTTTGCTTCTTCACTGACGGCAAGCAACACAAAGTGCGCGAATTTGACATGATCACCCTTAGAAATCATACACCGCGGTCATACATGACATGATTACCCGTAACCTTGAGTGTTCTTGACATGATTATTGTATAATCTGCAACCAGATGACGTCACAGGCGCTGAATTCGAAAAATTACTGTACGCTTTCGGCCAATCAGAAAAGAGATAGTGAGTTCAATGTATAATAATAAGTGTTCTTGTGCTTTCTGTGTAGATTGGCAGTACAGGCCAACTGCTCGGTTTCGATTTATCAAAACAAGATACTATGCTTACATTGGACATTCACTGTAGCAGCATTGGATGTAACATTTCCAAGGCTGTTATTCGCCACACAACGGTAGGTTCCGTTGTCTGTTCTTTTCACATTCGTTATTGTCAACTGTTTTTTGTCATCTGAAATACTGATCCTTCCGCTTGTATTTACAGGAGATCCATCTCTAGTCCATGATATTATTGGTACTGGATTTCCATCAACGTTACAAGATAGAGTTACGTTAGCTCCTTCTGTTCTGGTTTTATTTTGAGGATGAGTAGCGATCTCTGGTTGATCCGTAACAAACAAGACAATCACTCATGAATGGGGAAATTTTGAAAGTACGAACTGAAATCATTTCAAGACTATACGAGCCTGTTTTTATGTTTTAAATGGATTTAAGTTAGCAAGTTACAGTGCGACTATCAAGGCCATCCTAGCAAATTATTTCCAAATTTACATCCACCGTTTGAGTGTTAAACGATAAACATGGCCACTAACTCATTGCCTCTGCAGTGTGCAGCTTGCTTGGATGAATGAATTGTCGGAAATGCAGTGTTAACATCCCATGTTTCCATTGGTTAAATTTGAACAGGATCTTTGATTCCTTGTTTGAAAGGGTCGCACTGTAAACTAGAAACTGCAGTAACGTCATTTTTAGGAAATTTTTCTTGTGAAATTTTCAAAACAATAATTGTCAAAAGTCGCTGATTTCTGTTTACCCGTTTCGTGCTAAACCCAATAGGGGCAATGGACCTTTCAAACATTCTGACGACAGTGTTTTGATCAATTGCTCGCATTGATATCTAGTGCAGCAGCATTGAAGATATCATTTCCAAGAATGTCGATAACAAGATACTGTACTTACATTGTACATCCAGTGTAGCAACATTGGAGGTATCATTTCCAAGTTCGTTGCTCGCCACACATCGGTATTCTCCGCTGTCTGTCCTGTTCACATGCGTTATTGTCAACTGC